TACAGGAAAACGCTCAATGGTTATGTTAGCACAATCCTACAAAAACACAAACTTAATCTGACAAATGCCTCCAAAGAGCATTGCACTGATAAAACATTAGTGTGTCCATGCTGCTTGCCAATATCATCACAAATTACTTCAGCAAAATATTCACTTTAGAGCACACAAGTATATGGTAGAAAGCAGCATCGGAACCGATTTCCAATTGTTAAACACGGATACATAACATCCAAAAGTATTTCCTCCTCATACCCAGGACTCTGAAGTGCTCATATCCTCAGAACATATACCCCCGATAATTAGTGTTCGCAAACTGGAAAAATAATCTAGAAGTATATTAATTTAATACATTAATCTTTTCGACTCAGGAGCCCTTGTGCTCCATGGAAAATATAGGTTAATTAAAGCCCTAGGTGTACCGACATATTTTGCTTCATTACCTAAAGAACATGGCTTGGCAGCAGTCCAAAAATTGCATCTTTATAAGTAAAGCAATGGTGACCAGAGCACTCGCTGAACACCCATTCCCACACATCACTGATAGAGACTAGAGACAGATGGTCCTCTGTGATAGAGGAGGTACAAAATGACTCCTGGTCACACTCACAGGGAAACACACCGCTTCACAGGGCACAAAACACCAGCAGCCTTGAGGTCTCTTTCCAAAGTTTAAATTACACACGGCTGAGTCACCACCCTTTTTCCTCGAGCCGCATTCATTCACCGAGACAAAAAAAGGTTAGACTGAGGCAGAGCAGTAACCATGGCAACTCTCTGAAAACAGGCAGGAGGATGTAGAACATCACTGTACTCCAGAGTGATTCAGGGTCGGAGGAGCTTGCGTATCAGGCTGGAGGAACGTGTGCAGGAGTGTAGAGTGAACTGGAGGGAGGGGATGGACAGGAGACAGGCCTCTGTCTCAGCATAATGACTCAGCTACAATAAGCAATGCTCTTTACTAACCACATCAGCCACTTAAGATACGATCAGGACTGGAGATGCACTGACAGCAACACTGATATCAGATAACAGTCCGATACTGACCCAAACAGCCGAATTAGGTGTTGGTGACAAGGGGCTGATTTGCTACTGGATACTGTTATTTTAATAAATAACAAAGCCTTACATTTACATTTATGTATTTATTTTTTACACTTCTTTTACAAAGTTGGGAAAGCCATGTTTAAGCCAAGCCTGATGTAGCCATATATACAAAGGAATGATCCCAGTCTCTTGCACACAGTGAGGCACACAGGTTATTAATTAAACACTGGTGTCGGATCTGAACTCCGTATTGGCTGATAACCACAGCCCAGGTATCGGTATCTGGATCAGAATCAGTATCAACATCAGTATCAATATCAATATTAGTATCGGTATCAGTATTGGTATCGGGACTGAATAAGCCAGACTAATGCGGCACCACAGAGCAGCGGGTAGAAGGTTACAGTGGGGCAGGGAAATGCAAGCCAAAATCACACTTACAAGCTTCAGTCCGATGTCCAAAAGCAACCTGTATCATAATGCCTTTCCAGCACGGGCTGGCGATAATCTCAGTACGATATCTGTGTGGCACTGTCCTAACGCTGGATAGTCCAAAGTCCTGAAAATATAGCATGTAAATTTCTGACCACAAGACAAAAGCCAAAAAAAAAAAAAAAAAAAAAAAAACCACTGATCAAGGACCAGCTTTCCCAATCTGCATCTGAAACCCGAGACTGTCCAAGACCAGCTGAAGTTGATCAAAGCCCAACATTCACAGCGGGCCTGGGCCTAAAAGCACTTCAGCGAAAAAGGAATCGAGACTGGACCCAGCCGCCAGGACTGCACAGCAGCAGTTTGAGTCGCCACGGCAACTGGAGGGCTGTTCATACTGTGGACTGAAAACAACCTTTTCCCTCTCGCTAGCACCACAGATACAACCTTAATATGCTCATTTTGACATGAGCCTGGACAGTCAAACCTATTCCTTATCAACTAGCACATCAGCTGCAAAAAATAAGTTTCTAATGTTTGAAGGCTCAAAGTTTGGGGCATTATGCGTGACTGAAGATCATTAGACTCTCAGTAAGGCATCGTATCGAGCACAAGAGCGTGACCCCCAGCCCAGCAGGACGATGTTTCGTTCTGGCAGAAAACAGCACTTCGCTGTATTGACGCCACGGCAGCCCGTCACACGGTCTGGTCTCCGGATTCGCCATGAGAACGCTGCGTAACACACTTGTCCACTTTCTCGCCTCAGATCTCATAACGTCTTCGCTTTGTAACGGAGCACGTAAACAGGGAATCCAAAAGTGAATTTGCCACCGTGATCACTGCTGTATCATCGCCCATAATGAAGCCCGGAGGTCAATCACACCTCACCACTGTTTGAAGAAAAACATCCATAAACACACAAAAAGTATATGTTGACAATGAGCTTTCTGCATGAGTACCCATTTCCAAATCAATCAAATATAAAATCTAGATCTTGAATACTTTAAAAAAAATAAAGAAAAAGTATTAGAAATTGTAGTGATAAGGGACATGATGAGATATTATCTTCCTTTAAAGCTGCCATCAGGGAGCCCCTAAATCTGTATGGATGTGCTGAATGGCCATGACACTCAGATGAATACAATGTTTGACACAGCAAACAAAGAACTTACGCACGCCACAACAAAATCTTAACCAACAGCCTTCTGATCACATGATCTGCACTTCCCCTGTACTGTACACCGTCGGTCACGCAGAACAGGATACTGTACAGAACTGATGCAGCTTCAGCTCTCTCTACCTGCGGGTAATGCTGTGCAAACACAGGTGTTGCCACCTTACATTCACATTTATGCTTGTGATTCTGTGTAGATCACAATAATAATCAGTCAATTTATATAACAGCCTATCCTTATTTTAAAGATTTAAACTTACTCTGCTCTATGCAGTATAAAGTCAATTCTAGTAAAATCCTGTCGCAACCTCGCAGGCTAAAGTTCTTATTAGCTGTGAAAAGCTGTATCACAAAATAATTTTACTTGATTAATTTAGTCTCCATAGGCGTGTGTTGCTGTCGGGCGAAAACATAACTTATTTTGGCCAGCCAACACCCAATTAATTTCTATCAGGATTCAACCGATGTGTGTGCACATTAATGACCCCTTATTACAACACTATTAATTACACTCTTATTAGTAATGCACCCTGATAGATGCATGACTGAACTGGAATGCAGAAACAGCTCATATCCATTTTATCGCTGGGGAGATCATACATTCTGCCCACACTGTAACCACAATGAGAACTCTACAGACATTTCACAGACAAATTTAATGCTTGGGTTCACTTTGAAAGGTCATTTAACAACTTGTTACCATATATTTACATTACCACAACTCATGCCTGCCCGATCTCTTATCAGTTGGCCTATCAAACTGGCCTGGAAACGTGTGTACTCATATTACTGCCGACCAGCTCAAGTCCCGGAGCCGCGTCTTATCACGTTGCTCGCTTTGCATCTAAACACGCAGAACTGGTATCATGAATGCTTTTTGCTTTGCATCTAAACACAGACAATGGTTTGAGTTCATGTGACATTATGATTGGTCTTGGGTGATATGAGAAGTAACGTGCATACATTCCATTACTTTCAGTTTGTAAATTTTGTTTCGTTCATTTTCACCGTGATCACATGGTGACAGCCAAACAAACTAATGCTGGTCCTGCTGCGGCAGGACAAAAAGCTTGTGAAGATGCTGTCGACCCGCAGGCCGCATGTGCGAAACGGTGAAGAGGAATCGTCAGGGTGAGCGAATGGTGAAACCACGTTGTATTGTTGATAACAACTACGGTATGAGCGGTGTTGATCGCAGTGATCAACTGGCTCGTTCGCACCCGCCGACTGCGAGAAAGTTGAGACTGTGCGAATCTTGTGTAGTTTGCGCCAAGAACGGTGTAAGGAAAGAGTCACGCTACATGTGCGCGAGTTATGAGATTCCATTATGCGTCGAACCGTGCCTCCAAACTTACCATACTGTCAAGAATTTTTAATGCAAGTTTTTGTTTTTTCCATGTCGCCGTCATTCTGTCACCTCGCAATCTGTGTCTTTGTAAGTAAAAGATGTACATAGCGTAATTGATTGCATCCTTATCGTATATCGCATGAACTCAAGACAGTGTCTGGATGGTTAAGATGCTAAACAGCACAGTTCTTATCACCCATTACACCAACGACCATCAGTGAAAATAATTCGGGCCAGCGCACACGGCAGCACTCACTGCTGTCCTGTTAAACACTACTCGCATGAGCCATAGTTCATAGATGGATCCGGGACTCAAGCCTGGCGATTGGTCGCGAGTAAACACGGCTCCGAGCACCACGTGGTTAATGGAGAGCTGGAATAGGTTAAACTACTAAAATATTTCAAATGTGCACCGATCGTTAAAAAACATTGCTTTTTCGAAGCCATAACTAACTTGGCTGTTTACAAGCTTTATTATGTACATTGGCCACTGATTTCAGTGCACTGTTCAGTCAAAAAATCTAACATTGAGGGCATTTATACACACTTTATTATGAAAGAAAAAAATCACTGAGTGATGTCTTGCATGTTTTATTTTAACCTTCACTGGCCCAGGCAAAGTTCCACTGAGAACATGTTTCCCCTTTTCAAGGGGCCTTACCCCCTGGGAGAGATAGAACAGTTGCGACTGAGGAGAGATAGTGGGAAACAGGAGTAAAGCCCTCGGAGCAGTTTTGGGGTTAAGGGCCTTGCTCAAGGGCCCAACAGAAGAGTTCTTCCAAACTTCATCTCTCCAGATCAAGTCAGAACCCAAACCCCACTGTGAGCACAAACCAGCAGCTCTTCTCTCACCAGTCAAGCTACCAACAATAAGAATCCTACAGCCATTTCTGAAAGCAATAGGCCAATGAAGAAGAACAGTGCTCATGTCACTACCTTTTTCAAAATAACTCCTGAAAGGGTTATATTTTATTGTAATTCAAACTGTTGGCAACCCAAGCTGCCGAGTTAGCCAACTCGGTTAAGGCGCCGCAATTGCAATGTAGCAGTGACTCCTACGGCGCGGGTTCGATCCCCGGTCGGCAGCTTTTTCAGAACAGCGCACGATTGGCTTAAGCGCTGTAGGGATGCAAATTGGGAAGGGACTGCTGGGAAGGGAAATTAAAAATGATTGCCTTGTTCGTTGCTCAAGTGCCTCCTGTTGGCCAGCCGGGCGCTCGTCTGTGAGAATCTAAGCTTGCTCATGTTCGGGTATCCTCCGCCCTCGTTCTGCACTTGCGATAGTTTCGACCAATGAGTGTAAAGATGCAGGGGCTGACAGGCGCGTGCTTTGGAGGAGAGCCGCAAACTGTCTCTCTCTCCTGAGCTGGCAACAGGAAGTTGCATACGAGCAAGCCTTGTACATAGTTCTCGGATTGAGCATTCCAGATTCGGGTGGGATTGGAGATGTCAAATTATTTTTAAAAAAAACTGTAGCCAACCCCTGTCTGCACATCAATTTTGATTAATCCCAATTACACCCAGAGAGACCCTCAGTAATGTTTTCATGTTTTCAATGTTTTTGACTTGACCAATAAACCAACTGAACAAAAACGTTTTTACATGCTAATCGTCTCGATGTCTTCTCTACGCAACAGTATAAATCATTTTACGTTCTGGAATATTTCCAACACTCCGAGAAAAGAGACGTGCCAAGCAAGAATGCACCACACTGCTTGCTACTTAAACAGTCTAGACATGTTTTCTGGGTTGTAAATCACTGATAATTATCTTAACAAGAATTTAACATGTAGATATTTCAAAAGATCTCAACTATACAGAGTGTAAAGGATTTAGTTTTCTGGATGGGCATGTTGCATTGCTCTGAAAGATAAGATGCGCTTTGATCAAAGCTGAGTCCTTTACACCAGTAGCGCAGATTATGAACACTGGCATTCTGAAGCAACAGGACCCACTAGTTTCAAAACCAAAAGATTTTACAGTTACAGCTCTTTCAATGCATGAATTTCATCAAATTTTGAATCCCATACCAATACAAGGAGAAGATGGCTAATTTTTCACAACGCTTTAAAGCAAACTAGTGATTTTTATGTTGTCATTTGGTAATACTGTCTCTTTGAAGACAGGCACAGGCACGGAATGAGTTCATGGCATATTTAAAACAATTCTTTGAGACGAAAATTCTTCCAAAATTGAAAGTAAGTTTTCTAAATATTGAAAAATGAACTTTGAAGAGCTGTGAGGTGTTAAAAAGAGAATAAAATCAACATTAGGTGTGATTCCCCACTACCTTAAAATTAGAAACACTGGTCCACAGTTTGACTTTTAGCAATTAAATGGCAGTTGGTTTGTTCTGAGCATGTAGGAGAACTCGCCACAGCTCTGCAGGCTCACAGTCTCACTCATGTCTGCCTCTCCAGCTAATCCCACACAGATTCAGATTCAGATTCGCTTTATTGTCATTGTTACTTATTTTTTTATTTTATTTTTTTTCCCAGAATAACAACGAGATTTACGTTTGGAGAAGTGCTCCGGGCCGCAGCAATGTGCGTCGCGCCGCCAACTCCAAGCCCTGATGATGCTGAGTTTGTTAGGGCTATACTATCACTTCCAGCACTACATTACCAGTCTAAGCAACAGACCTTACAAATGGGCCACACAATTAAAATAAGGACACTTTTGCATAATCATGCCACAGCAGAACGAGCACCGACAAACAAAGTATGGAAATTATAGAGTTATAAATATAGCAGCGCTACATTTGCTCAGCAACACGAATGACGACATGTTGATGAAACATCAGGATACTACCACCTGACTGCTCTCGTCTCAGAATGGAGAACACCGACTCTCCACTCTGTAAATTCGGACCGCAGAGCATCAGCATGCAGCGCATTGTAAGGCTGTAAGGCCCGATGACCGTGATTCCAGTTCACTGGTGCCAGCACTGTGCGGCTTGTAGGGCTGAAAGCCAGGGACAGAAATAGCACACGCCCTAGCGCTGCTTCAGCTATTCCAGGTCTTCCTCCACACTGCACTGTCAAGGCTGCAGGCCAATGACTGCCATCACAATAATTACAACCACAAATATGCAATTATAATAATGACTAAATCATTTATCTTTCTAATAACTTTAAAACAACCTACTAACACGTTTCTCATCGCCACCGTCTACAGTCACACAAATGTGCTACGTACACAGCAGTTAAGGATACAGGCTACAGTTTGGATATTTGTGCTCGAGTCGACACGCATTTGAAGACTGCTATAGCAGGGCAGTAACGCCACACATACAACATGGCTGCTGGGATAAATCTGATCCCCGTTCTGTAAAAAGTGTCCCTCCACCTATTTTTACTCAGCAGGCCTTCCCAGAACAAACACAAAGCCCAAACATTCTGACCAATAAAGTGACAGTCTCCTCTCACGAGGCGATCTTCTAGTCAATTTGGTCCGCTTAGAGAGGCTGCGATAGAGAAATACTTTATTGAACCACGTGGGGTAATTTGTCCTCTGCATTTAACCCATCACATAGTTCGGAGCAGTGGGCAGCCACAGAGCAGCGCCCGGGGACCAACTCCAGTTCTAAAGCCAGAGCCTTGGTCAGGGACACTGGTAGGAGTGTTCCTATAGTGCATGTCTTTCAGGGTGGGAGGAACCGAAGTACACGGAGGAATAAACGCAAACACGGGGAGAACATGCACATTCCCTACAGAGAGGCCCTGGCAGCCAGGATTTGAACCTGGAGCCTCCTTACTGCGAGAAAGCGATCCCAACAACTGCGCCACCGAGCCACCAAACAGACCAATGATGCCATGTTTAAGGGAATCCAACTACAGGGAAAATCCAACATTTGAATTCCTGATTCGGAGAAAAGCAACCGAAGCACAGAAACGAAAATTCCCCAAGAGAGATGGAGATGTGGGAAAAATCCACCCCAGGATTTTAAATCCCCGCAGCAAACCCCCTCGGCTCTGATTACGCTGCTCAGCCCAGTTCAGAGCACTTCAATGAGCAGGCCAGCATATCTGATTTCAGGGAGTGTTGTCCATCGCCAATTTTTTATTCGATTTAACATCCTAAAAGAACACAGAAAAAAAAAACCAAGAACTACCAGTATTTCAGAATGTGAAACCAGCAGGACGCTGTGAAAAAACAAACACTGAGCCGTCGACAGAGCACTTCCCCTTCCTCTTCCTCTTCCTTACACTCGGATCAAGTTTCTCATCGACACCGAGCCCTGTATTAACCCCTAATAACCAGGGAACTTCTGCAAAGAGCTCGGCTTTAACACTCCTAACAGTGTTAACACAGCCTCCACCGGCCTGGGTTCAATCCTGATGAAACGAACTGAGAGTCTGATTAATCCGTACTTGAAATGATTCCCAAAATTGCATATTTTCATCCCATATAAGCATACAAAATATGAAAAGGATCCGTGAAAAACTGAAGGCACTACAGCACTGACGAGGCAAAAAGTTTACGGACGCACAATAGACCACCACAAAGGCAACTAACCACAGCATAAGCCCGATTGGCCTGGAGGCCAAGCAGGCTAACTTAAAAAAAACAGGCACATAAGCATAATTTTTTTTTTTTATAAACAAACCGTAAGAAAGACGATATAATCGATACTAACAGAACACCTAGTCTATGGCCATAAGCAATGAGACTAAAATATGACCAGTTGAAAGCCACATCTGAGGCCACATCACCCTCCGGTCTATGCCAAGGCAAGGAAAAAATAAACATGAACATTAATCATTATTTATCCCTTAACCAGCATGGGAGCAGTTAACCATTTTGTGCACCACCAGAGCGGCATGGTGAAATAGTTGAAGTTGGGATTATCCAAAAATTAAAGCGTTAAAATAAAAAAAAAAAAAAATTGCTCCATGAATTACTTCTCACTATTTAACAATAAACAGCAGACCCATACTTGCAGCATATAGCATCCATACACCAAATCCAAAATGGCTACAAAAAGACTGCCCTGAAATCTCTTCAAACCTCCATAGCAAAACTGCTCGATTTCCAGGTCATCCTCCTGCTATGAAACTGAACGCAAACTCGGTCACCAACCAGACATGTCAGCACGGCTCCCAAGTCAAATATCTGTACACACAAGGCAGTCAGTTTACAGCAGTTTAAGTGTGCGATACATGTTTGGTGAAACATTTCGGAGTGCAGAGTGTCGTCGCGAGGTCTGATCCGACACTCACTCTTCTGTTCCAAGGCCCTCATCTCCTCCGGCGGGATCTTCAGCCGGTCAACGTGATCACGCAGGACCCCCACCCACTTCTGCAGCGACTCCATGATGGTCCAGGGCCGCGACATGTCCACTACCAACACCGCCAACGTGTCCTGTAGGGTCTCAGCCGACAGCGCAAACTTCAGAAGGCCCTTGTGGTACAGGTCTCCATCCAGGATCCACACATTGCAGCGTGTCAGGTCTAGATGGGAAAAAGACGACTAGTCAGAGCGGGCAAATTAGAAAACGCATAAAAAACACTGGTCACTAAGGGGACTATGGACCACTTGAAGCCTTGAACGAGGCAAAACTATTCCGAGACAGATCCTCGCCAGCGAGCTCACACCCGTGCAAACACGGTCTTGGACCTCAGCCAGATCAGCGAGATGCGAAATTTCAGCTCAGCTAAAAAAGAACTGACAATCAAACCTGAGGATGATTCTGAAAGAAGAATTCACACAGAGCTCTGAAAATCAACAGCACTCAACAATGGAACTTGCCACCGGCTGGAAGCCACAGATTTAAAATTTTAGACTTTGTTGACCTTCCAAAACATGGTCTGACTCACAATTTAAAATACGAGAATTTCTCTTCTGCAGGACACCCTGATAAAGTTATGGGCCAATATGGTATTTTGAAAACTGAAGCAGAAAATCCATGCATTTCTTTCACTGAGCTCAGCACAATGGAGAGGGTCACTGCTAGCAATTATTCCCCAGAAACAACAACAACAAAAAAAAAAAAAAATTAGACACCTACCATCTCTGTCTTCATCATTAACGTTCAGGTACAGATATTCCAAACCCCTCCCTTTTTTATTGTGCTCCACCCCCT